TGGAATAGAGGATAATAAATGGTAACATTTTACTATTCTGAGTAAAATAGCAAATAGTCATTATATATATATATTTACTAGCAAGATATCTTATTTGTTTCAGCTTTTATTTAAATGTGTGCCTCATCTCATAGAGCAGTGGGCAGCTAAGCTGTGTCATTTTAGGTATCCCTTTTTTAGTTTCTTCATTTTCTATTATTAACTAAACATTTTTATCAACTTTAGTAAGCTATAATGTATATATCCTAAAATTCACCTATTCTGAGTACACAACTAAATTATTTTAAATAAATTTGCACAGTTATAAAATCCCCACAATCCATTCTAAGAATATTTTTATCATCCAAAGGAGTTTTCTCATACCCATTTGCAGTAAATCTGTATTCTCACCTTGAGTCTCTGGGTTGTTTCCACTTTTGGCCATTATGAATGATGCTACTTTGAGCATTTGCATTGAAGTCTTTGCATAGATACATGTCTTTATTTTTTTTTTTTTTTTGGATATCTGGGAATGGAATTGCCAGTTCATATGGTAAATCTGTGTTTAACTTTTTAAAAAATTGCCAGTTGTTTTCCAACGTGGCTCTGTCATTTTACATTCCCACCAGCAGTGTATGATGGTCTAGTTTCTCCACATCTTCAACAACACTTGTTATTATTGCCTTTTTTTTAACCATTCTAGTGGATAGGCAGTCCTGTCTCACTGAAACTTTAATTTACATTTGACTAAGGGCATTGAATGTTTTTTCATGTGCTTATTAGACATTAGTTTATCTTTTCATGATCATCATTCTTCAGCCACTGATAAGTTTGCTGTTTGCTAAACTTCACACAAAAATGGGGAAAGTCTGAGTCTTTTGCTGATGAGATTTCAGAAAGCAATAGAAATAAGAAAGATGAAAACATCAGAGGTCAGAATAACCAGTTTCTGGTGAAGGTATCAAAAGTGATCAAGAGACAGAAAACACATGTTATATGTCTTTCCTTTTTAGAAGGTGGGATCCCCTAAGAGATATTAAACCCTGGTTTTATTTCATAAAGCTGGGCATCTTAGCTTTGCTTCCATTTACAGGGACTGGCATATAACAAATGCATGGCTGTGTGCTCCACGAAGATTCACAGGAGAGCAGAGGCCAACCTTAGGATGTTATGTGGGCATTAAAATAGTAAAAGGATAATTGCTGATAAAGGACTCCAGGGGCATACTCTTTGAAGGTTTGTAGGTACACACATTCATCAGTAGGGATGTTTTGCAATAGTAGTAGCACTCACTACCAGAATGGGGTTCAATTCCTTGAAATCTTGAAAAAAAAAAAGAAGTAATAGTACCCTTCCAGGTGGAATACTGTAGAGGTTGCCAGAATATGGATTGATTCATAGGGAACACATATTGGCTGTAATCATCAGAATGGGGCTCAAGAATTACTTTGATAGAAAGGATGAGCTAATACAGGGATGCTAAGTTTTAGATTAAAGTTTCTTAAGCCCTTCTTGGTTAAAGTCAGGACTGGTCCTTTAGGACTAAGTCATATTTGAGCCTGTTGGGTGAGGGTCCACTGTGGAGAGAGGAAGGATGCAAAGGCTCTAAGTTATCAGAATACTCCCAGCAGAAATGGTGACCTTTGTACAAAGTGGATCTTAGTTTCTATATTAGATGGTTGCTATGGAAATATTTTGATGACTGATTACCACATTTGTTTTTTTTAAAGATTTTATTTATTTATTTGACACAGAGAGAGAGATCACAACTAGGCAGAAAGGCAGGCAGAGAGAGAGAAGGGGAAGCAGGCTCCCTGCCGAGCAGAGAGCCCGATGTGGGGCTCAATCCCAGGACCCTGGGATCATGACCTGAGCCAAAGGAAGAGGCTTTAACCCACTGAGCCACCCAGGCACCCCACCACATTTGTTTTTAACCCATACAGTTAGTCACTACTTGATACCTGACTAATCTGATTATATCACATCCATTTTGTTAACAAATCCAGAATGTGATGTCATTTTTGAGACTAAAGGCACTTTGATTCTCAGGTGTGAAATAATCAAAGACCTTAGTTCCATTACTTTTGGGCAATAGAGGAGGTCAGCTTCCTGAAATGTAAAGCAGAAATACCTACTCATCTTATGTGTTCTACCAGTCTGCTCACGCTGCCACAGCAAAATACCATAGACAGGGGACTTAAACAGGAGATGTTTATTTTTCTCACAATTCTAGAGGCTAGGAAGCCCCAAATCGAGGTGCTAGCGAAGTAGGTTTCATTCTGAGATCTCCTCTCTTGAGTTGTAGAAAGCTGCCATCTCACTGTATGCTCACATGACCTCATCTTTGTGTACACAGCTTTAGAGAGAGAGGGAGAGTGTGTGAGCACTTATTCATGTGCAAGCTGTCTGCTATCTTTTCTTAGAAAGATGCTTTTTCCATCATGAGGGTTCTACCTGCATGACCTCATCTAATCCTGATTACTACTCAAACGTCCCATCACTTTGGGGGTTAGGACTTCAACATGGGAATTTTGGGAGGAGACCAACATTCAATTCGTAACACCTATTCTATTTCATGAGGTTATTAGAGAACCAGGTAATAGCTAACATTTATTGAATGTGTTTTCTGCTGGCCTTGATTCTAAGTACTAATATTCATTGGTTACTTACAATAATCAAGAATTTTATGGGCGCCTGGGTGGCTCAGTGGGTTAAAGCCTCTGCCTTCAGCTCAGGTCATGATCTCAGGGTCCTGGGATCGAGTCCCACATTGGGCTCTCTGCTCGGCGGGGAGCCTGCTTCCCTTTCTCTCTGCCTGCCTCTGCCTATTTGTGATCTCTCTCTCTCTCTGTGTCAAATAAATAAATAAAGTCTTTAAGAAAAAAAAAGAATTTTAGATACTATTATTTATCTCCATTTTACAGATCAAGAAACATGAGGTTTAAAGAAGTAAAGTCAAAGGTGATCAAGATCACAAACACATAAATACATGCACAGTCTGAATTAGCTCTAATTTTTCTTCATATTTCTCTTAAGTGTGACCCATCCATTAATGCTCAGGTTAGCTTTCTCCTCCTTGGGAAGTTTTCTCTGATTGCCTTCAACCTTGAGAGATTAATCTCTGATATGACTTTTTTAAATAGCATTAATTGCCTGTACCATTCTCGTTAGCCTCTTCTTTTAAGCTGCTGTTATTCAACTTTGTGTAACTTAACCAAGGTAAATTACAAGCATTTCACAAGCATGGGCCATAACTTTTATCTCCTTTATCTCTTGCTTTTAGAATACAGTTAGTGAGGTTAGTGGGTAATTATCGGTAAGGGTGATGAAGTGCAAGTGTCGGGAACCTCAGTAACAGCTGGATCTCTAAAAATAAAAGAAAATTATAAATCTGTCTCTGTTAGGGTAGATTTATAAATGGTTTGTGGAAAGCAGAAGACATACTGGAGTTTTAATATACTGATACTTTTAATATTACATTAGCTGCCAGAAAGGATATATACCAAGTACAGAAATTATTACCTTAATTTTCAAAGTTAGCACGTGTGGAGAATTAGGTTCATTATGTCCATATCATTCTTTTATTTCTGCTGCTGTGGCCAGCTATACATTATTAGACTTTATGGAAGAGAAGTTGAGCTGGGATGTATTTTTATTTTTAATTTTGAAAAGCACTTGAAGTAAGTTGAGTCTTACTGACTTAAAGGGTAAAGTTGGCCTTGTGTGCAAGACATTAATGTTTCAGCTAGTCACTGTAATGGTTCAAGACACTTGGTAAACAAACAAGATCTTGTGCCTTAAAAGAAAGCTAATTAATTGACTGACTATTGACTCTCCTAGGTCTCTCTATATATAATCATTTCTTTTTTTTTTTTAATAAGGTGGTTTGGTAAAATAAAATATAGAATGTTAGAATGCTTTTGACTAGAATGTATAAGGAAGTAGAATTGCAAATTATGGTTCTGATTTGCTTGAATGTCAATATACAGAGATTATAATACTTAAGTGTTGACTCCTTTAAGTAATGAGGAAAACCCAAAACCTGCATCTGCAATATAGTGGTCTTTATCCCAGGAGAGATTAGAATAGTTTTATGATCCACTTTGTTACAAGATACTGTGTTAGGAACTTTCATAAGCAGTATAATTTAATCATTACTATGACTCTCCGAGGCAAAGTAGGCATTGTCTTCATACTTTTAAAATGAGGAATGAAACACGGATTACTTAAATAACTTGACCAAAGTAATATATTTGGTAAGTGGTGGAATCAGAAATTGCATTTAGGCTTGTTTGACTTAGAACTTGAGAGTAACGATGTTGATGAAGAAGTTAGTTTATTTTATTTATTTTATTGCCTCACATGTAATACCTGATATAGTATTTAAAATAATTTATGAAAGAAATACATGAGACAGATGAGGAATATGAGACTTAGAAAGGTTAAATAATGAGTTCAAGGTTATACAGGAGGTGCTAGTGACTGAACTGTAGTATGGATGTATTTGTCACAAGGTCTGTACACCTATGCTACCACACTCTAAAGCTGGTCCTCTTGCCGTTATACTCACTTGACTCTAGTGTGGACTCCCAAGAATGGGAACACTTGCAGTTTGGCAATACCTATCAAATATATATATTCAAATTATATTTCATCATAAACTGGTTTATCTACTAAAGATTATCCGTTCCATGTAGGTGAATTGATTTAGCAACAAAAAATTATTCTGGTCTATATTCTGATATCTCTACCTCCAATGAAAATAGTATTTGTGTAATCACCTAATTACTGAAGAATGGATACAGATTTTAGCTTACCATGTATCATCTTTACTCATATGGCATTGTTGAAGGATTTTAAGATACTTTTGAATACTGCTGTTGAAATTATAATCATAGAAATCAAAGAAATTATAAACAAATAAACATAGAAATCATAGCAAAAATCAAATATGAAACCAAATTTTCTTCTTTTTGATATGAAATATCTATAATTTAATTCTCTTGTACATCCTTTTTCAGATCATGCTCATCTTGGCTGCTACCGACCCAAGGATTATAAGGTATGTAAGTATAAATCACAGAATGATAACTGTCCTGGCTTTCACATAAAAGCCATAATGCACATAAATATACATTTCTTATATATATGGTCAGAGATTATTGTAATCATTTAGTCAAGAAAATGGACAAACAATATTGTCATATCATAGAATATTATTATTTTGGCTACAATGTCAAGTGATAGAGCAGACTTTTCATTGAATGTCTTTGTACAATAATTTGTGGCTTTTGATTATTCATTTAGATCAATTACTTATTGAATGTGTTTGTGTATGTGTGTGTGAGAGAGAGACATAGACCAGAGAAATTGGTTTTTATTTTTAGTAATAACTTGCACAGTACTATTTCTCAACTTCATTTATAGACCATCCTTACAGTTTTTAGAATATCTACATGTAATTTGTGCTGTTTTCTTTAAATTCACTTTTTATTTACCTCACTACTATAAATGAAAAATCAATATCTTATGCTTTAAATGGATGATTGCTCTAAAGGATACAGTGAAAACAAAACAATGTTACAAAGTTCTGGCTAGATAAAGGTTGTTTTCCAAAAGCTCTGAGGCATGTTCTCTATTTCTTAAAATGAGATAAGCAACGATAGAGAGGTGTAGGAAACATACCAATAGCTAACTGAAGGCTTCTGACTAAAAGAGAATTGAAAAGATAATACCTGTTTTCTTTTGTAATTCAGTGTTATTTAGCGTATGTCCATGTGCCATGTAAAATAATCCTGTGTATCATCTAAAATCACTTTGGGTACCATATTAAATTATCTGCCATACCACTAATAGTTTGTGTCCTCCATTTTGATAAGTATCATCTCAGAGTTTGTCTTTTCTGTTCCTAAGTGAAAGCTTTTTGATAAGGTGTGTCAGTGTATTTGAGAAAACAAAACAAAAACAAAATCATAGCTTTCCTTATAATACCTTTGCTTATTTACTTGAAGACAGTCTATTCTGTGTTTACTAGCACTGACCAGCATAGTTTGAGTATTTTGCCATGCTTTTGGGCATGATAAAGGAAATATGGAACAGTTAATGAATCAAGGCACTGTATGACTAAGAACTCAAATCTAACAGAGTATCAGAATCATCTAGGTGGAACTTTTTAAAAAGTCATTCCAGGTACTAAATTGAAATTGTTGAGAAAGGAGACTGGAATTTTTAAATTTTTAACACATTTCCAGGTGATTCTGATGCAGCTCTCTTGCCATCTATCCAAGGATTGGCGTTTGAGAACCACTAGCATAGACTGAGTATAGCATTGGTATTGGTGGAACTGTTTCTTACATAGTGTGTGTATATGGCTGTGCCCTTGTTTAAGGCTGATGCTGCAAGAGTGTGTGCTTGGCATTATTCACCTGGTGCAGATCTGTCCTATTATGTGGAATGTATTACACACACACACACACACACACACATGTACGTGCACACTGGTGTGTGTAATATATATGCATGTGTACACACATAGGTCAAAAAGCATAATATTGGGACGCCTGGGTGGCTCAGTTGGTTAGGCAGCTGCCTTCGGCTCAGGTCATGATCCCAGCATCCTGGGATCGAGTCCCACATCGGGCTCCTTGCTCAGCAGGGAGCCTGCTTCTCCCTCTGCCTCTGCCTGCCATTCTGTCTGCCTGTGCTCGCTCTCTCTCCCTCTCTCTCTGACAAATAAATGAATAAAATCTAAAAGAAAAAAAAAAAAAAAGCATAATATTCCTTATCTTGTAGGGTAGCCACCCTCGTTTGGTCTACCTAAAGGATAAGCCTGTCTTTATACATTTCCTTCAAGTTATGCTTCATGATTTTTATAATCATGTATTTATTTTCATTTTTATTTGCATCTTTGTTTAAAATATGCTTGTTTTCCTAATCTCTAAGTTCCAGGGTGGTAGGGACCTTACTGATCTGCTTATTGATAATTGCTAGTACCTAGCATATTAGCTGATATATGGTGTGGATTCCTAATATATGTGTATTGTGTGAACAATTTTTTTTTTAAGATTTATTTAAGAGAGAGAGAGAGAGAACAAGTGGGAGGGGCAGGGGAAAGGGAGAGAGAATCTCAGACAGACTGCCTTGAGTGTGGAGCCCAACTCCAGCATGACGTGACACAAAACCAAGAGTCATATGCTTAACCAACTGGGCCACCCAGGTGCCCTGTCTGAGTGGGTTGTTAAGATAAAACAAGTAAACCAAATATATAAAAATACAGAATGGAGAGACAGGGATAAAGTTTATAGGCTACTAATCTTTATCTTATTAGAGTGACTGTATTCCAGCTCTATGTTAGCTGGTCCATTTAAAGATAGGTGTATATATTTACAATCTTCTTTCCCACATGAATTCTTTGAAAGAACTGAACTTTAATTCTCTCCCACTCTCATTTCTGGATTCTTCACTTTTAGGGTTAGAGTGAAGTTGATCATTCATATTATCCTTGTTAAGGCAGTAGGTGGTAAGTAAACTCACAGGATTATTTTTATATTCAAGGGGTAGATTTTCATTGAAATGCATATATAGCATTGAAGACTGCTACCTTCTCTATGGAAAGAATAAAGGATCTTATAGGCACATAGTAGCTGGCTAATAAATATTCAGGGAATAGAACACTAGGATTTCTACAAGTAAAAATAAGTCATAAAGGTGGCAGTGCTTACAAAAAAATTTCTGGAAAAGGACTTTGCTTGAATTCTGTTGAGAAATATATTTTGCATAGACAAGAGAAGGAAAGCAATGTAAAAAAGTCTTGGGATTTATATATATACAGGGTCCTGGGAGAAAAGAGAAAAGAGAAACAACTAGTTTCGTTTGAGTGGAGGGTAAGTACTGAGGAATAATGGCTTTTTAACATCCTTACTTTTCTGTTTTTCTTACATCTCCTTATCTCTATATCTGCTGCCTCCCCTTTTAAGATTTGTAGCTGTTTGATCATTATCTATTCTTTTGACCAAACTCAACTCTCTTTACCTTGGAAGCCTTATAACCCAACTGTTCTCATAAGTGCTTGTATTCTTTTCACTTCTACCATTACTCCCCCGAATCATTGACTTTTCTCCAATGTAGTTCCAATATGCCTGTGTCGTAGGCATTCATTTAGTATATGGGTTCTCAGTGGAGATTGTACCACTGTCAAGGTGGCATTTTAGATATTAACAGGTACCATTATTACAGTAATTTAGGGGAAGTACTCTTGATATTTAATAACCAGGGATGCTAGATTTTCTGTAATAGTGGGACAATGCCAAATGGTGAGGAATTCTTATGTCCCACATGGCTTTTAGCTGTCTCACCAACCATAATGGAGGTGGAAAACATGTTCATAATTATTAGAACAATTCTAACTCTACATAAAACACAGGTACCTTTATATTGTTTTGAGATACATATTATAGGAATACAAATATATTATAAAGCTTATACTTTGTTTTGTTAAAAATATATGGTATAGTATTACACTGTGATGAAGTATAGACATTTATTTTCCTGGTTTTCTTGTATGGAATGGCTTATGATCTTCTTACATTTTAAAACTGCAAACTATTTATGTAAGTGAGTGTAAGCATCCATTATGTTTTCTAGAATAGTCATGCTTGAGCATTTATGTATTAAAGTACATATTTTAGGTCATGTTCCATTAATTTCTCTTTATACTACAGTTAAGACAATTTGTTGATTTTTAATACATTTCATTTCAAGATATAAACGGAGGCAATACAAAATATTTGTTTTTAAATGAGGACTTAGTTTGGGCTACCATAATATATATCATAGACTGGGTGATTTAAACAAGAGAAATTTATTTTATCACAGTTCTGAAGGCTATGAAGTACAAGATCAGGGTGCCAGCCAGTTTGGTACCTGGTGACAGCTCTCTTCCTAGCTTGCAGACAGCAGTCTTTTCACCATGTCCTACATGGCAGAGAGACAGGAGTGCACGAGAGTGCAAGCTCCCGTATCTAAGAACAGTAACCCTTTCAGATTAGGACCTCATCCAAAAGACCTCATTTAACCTTAAACCCTTACTCCAAATGCAGTCACGTGGGAGTTAGGACTTCAATATATGAATTTTACAGAGAGACAGTTCAGTCCATTGCAGGGACTTTGGAAATGAAGGTTGAAAAATCAATGATGCCATGTGTAATCAGTGTATGAGTAAATGAATGGATATACATCTAATAACAGAGTATTTCTGGAAAGATTAATAGAACCCATTTTACCTGGGTCTTTATAAAGATAACCTTTCTAGCTTCAAATTGGCCTTCAGTCCTGTTGATCATTTTGTTCTCTTGTTGATTCTGTAACACATAGTCCAACCTAAGTTCTACTTCTTCTCCTTCTCGTTTTCCATACATAATGTCATATTCTACTTTGTCAGAGAAAATGTCAGTCAGTTGTGGATGGAATTATCTTCCATTATCTTCATCTCTACTTCAGTCTTTCTGTTAATTTCCACTTTCTTTTTCCTTCTACTCTGCCTTCTTAATAATGTTAACACCTTCTTTGCATTTATTTATTTATTGGCTCCATCTCTTTTGACCACAAACATAATAATAAAAATCAAGTTAAATGTATACAATGGGTTCCAGTTTTAAAGCATTTCATATGGATTATATCACTGGATTACATGTAGCCTTATAATTGAACAATAATTTTTATTCCCATCTTAAATGGCAGAAAACAAATTCTGCAGAGCTCCTGAAAAAGAAAATACCTCTCAGTCTGCATCACCCTATCTTTTTTTTTTTAAAGATTTTATTTATTTATTTGTCAGAGAGATAGAGAGAGTACAGGCAGGCGAGTGGCAGGTAGAGGCAGAGGGAGAAGCAGGCTCCCTGCAGAGCAAGGAGCCCGATGTGGGACTCGATCCCAGGACCCTGAAATCATGACTTGAGCCGAAGGCAGCCACTTAACCGACTGAGCCACCCAGGCATCCCTGCATCACCCTATCTTTATCATCCTTTCTTTCTCCTTCTTTTTACTACTAGACATTCAAATGAA